GGGGGGAAAAATCATTTAATGTCGGGCTAGATGAATGATTACAGCTATACTATTTTGTATTTTTAGTGTGGCCCAAAGGAAGTCGAATTGTGTTCAATGTCGCTGCTTCTCGGTACTATTTCATGTTAGTATACACACTATAGTAAAGTTTGCATGGCACGATGTATTAGAGATGTTTTAATTTGTGAGAATCTTACCGGCTCATAGACCGATTTAAATGACAGCGAAACAATAAAGAGAATTACATTGGCATGACAGAGCAAATGAAAATGTTGGTTATAAAGTTTGTAATGTTCTCAGGTATAAGATTAAGCGGAGGCTCTCAAACGCTCAACAACGGGTTTGGCAGGAATTTATCCAGGTTCCCGATTACAAGTTCCCGATTCATTAATTAATATTATGCTCACAAATTTCTAAAGTGTTCCCCTTTTGTGGTTCACGCGATGAGGCCGTGTGGACCAATGTCGTCCTACAGACCACTGTCTATGAGATGCAGTGATCTTACTTAACTATCTATGCAAAGTATCGCAAAAGCTAAATCTGTGTATTAGTTGCGATTTCATTATATGTGTGCATATAACTGTAATGTACACATTAACTGAAAGTATCGCAAAATCTAAATCAGGGTATCAGTTGCGATTTCATTATGTGTGTGCATATAGCTGTAATGTACACATTAACTGAAAGTATCGCAAAAGCTAAATCAGGGTATTGGTTGCGATTTCATTATGTGTGTGCTTATAACTGATGTCCTGGTTTGTCAACCTGTTACTGGAATCCTTGAAAAAACTGCCCTTGTTTGTCCTAGTTTCTTCCTTGTTTGAGTCGCATCTGTGGTTTTCTTGAAACACCATTCGATCCTAAAGACCTTAACGACTGATTACATTTTGAACATCTGATTGCTACTTGCCCTAAAAAGTGTCTCATAAGAACTCACTCGAGAAAACATTTTCCTTTTTTTAAACACACGATTTCGTCGTATTGCAGAAAAATGTAATTTCCATATTGAAATCTTAGACTTGCCATTTGAGAAATGGGATCTTAAAACATGAAAATATTGGAGGTTGGGGGGGGGGGGGGAACTCAAAGTTATTTTTAATTATCAACAATCTATGAATTGAGCTGCAAACGGGGACACAATTTCTACTCAGGGCTGCACTGTTTTGAAGCGCGTACTCCCAGTAAACAGAAGTCTTGCCACATTTCTTTCTTGCTTCCATTTGAAGCTTTGAATTTGAAATATACCAGTTAATATCATTGTTTTTTTTGTGTGTTTTTTTTTTGGTTGTGTTTTTGTGTGTGTGTTTTTGGAACACCCACCAATTTTTGATACATCAATAAAATACAACTTAGGGGGAACTCGGAATCAAATCCACCGTTTCAGTTTCTGTAGCATGCCGCGAAAATAAGGAGCATGTGAATGTGAATTATCAAATTTAGTCCATTCTTCGTGTCGTTATGTCTTAAAGTAACACCATGCGTGACGTCGCATTTTAGAGTCGGATCTCGGGGCCATGGGGTTTCTTAAACATTGTTGCATAGGCGTAGCGTATGGAAACAATCAGCCTCGTTAATTTTCGACTCTCTGCCAACAAAAAAAAAGAACAAAAGAATAAAACAACTATATAATTTACTCTTGTTTGTTGACTTCCCCTTTCTTATTTCCCGCCATTTCTCAAAGGGCCTGGATCCTCGAGTTAAAGGTTATGACGCCAGCACTGTCATTAACTCTCTGCCCGCAATCCTGGGTGCTGCCTATTGATACAAACATGAAAGCACTTGAGCATCTTGCAAGTTCTTGAAGTCAATTTTTAGCAGGGGTTTCCAGGCTTTAGCCGGTGATGTTTTGATTTATGAAACTATGACCATTCAGCGAAAGGGTCGTTGTTCGTGCAGTCATGAACACAATGCACACAAGTGCGCATACTCCAACACGACCACATGGTTATTGAAAATATATGCATTCCTCTTGATGTTTTGACGACTACGCACACCAGTATTGGATGGTAGAAAAGTTGAGTCTCTTTTATATTGTGAATATCTTAACGAGTTCAATTAATTTTCTGAAGGCTATTGTTTTAAAATATTATTTTACATGTTACTCAGAACCAAACTGTTGTTTACGACTCCGTCCCTCAATTATCATCGAATCCCAGAGCTTGGGAAATATTCGATTACTCGATAGGGCGCAGGCAGTAGAATATCACCGTCGCGTGATAGGTGTGCACCAACATAAGGTCATGAAATGCACGTACAGTGTGCACGGGTCTATTATCAACACATGTGAGAATCTTCGGTTACCTCGACCCGGTAGTACAGTACGCAGAGAGACCTTTGCGTGAAACGTCCCACCGTCAGTTTTGTGACCCGGTAGTACAGTACGCAGAGAGACCTTTGCGTGAAACGTCCCACCGTCAGTTTTGTTTTGTGTTTTTTTGTTTTGTGTTTTATTGTTTGGTCTCGGAATAAGATGTAAGGCACCCACCCACCCCCCCGGAATAAGATGTAAGGCACCCCCCCCCCACGCCTTTAGAGGATTATGTGCACGGAAGGAGTGGGCGATGGTCTGCACTTAATCCACGCCCTCAAGTCATTGTATATAAAATTACATACTGACACCAGAGATGAATTTGAGAAGGTCGAGACAACATAGTCGGGTATAAGTCAGGCAAACAAAAATGGCGGAGGTGCGTTTTCCAATTCATTTGTCCACTTCAGATCTATATAAAGAAGCTCAATTCGTTTCCAAGAGGTATTGATAATTGATATTTTTTAACAAATATTGAGCAATTTATGCGTTTTTAATCTAGTCGTTGAATCTTTTATGACTATACGTTAACATTCCACGCTGAGATTGAGGATGGGACGATATAACAATCAAAAGTATCCCAATTTTCTGTAATCTCAAATTTAATGTTACACATGTTGAGGGATTTTTTTTTTTTAAAGGCGAAGCCAAAAACTATGCATTTCAGTAGAATAGCGATATGTATCCATATTTGTTAATAGAAACGTTATTTTAAAAACAAATTGTAAAAACGCAAAACCAATTTGCCTTGTGTTTGAAATATACATTTAAATATGTAACTTACCCCGTGGAAATAATTACAAAATGCACCCACCAGACTTCAAGAAAGCAACCTTACAATACCCAGTTTCAGCGATCAATATGTGAACAGTTCACCGGTCACAACTGGCAGGCGGCTGATGGCGATCCTACGCAAGCTATCACTGCTCACCCGATCATGCACTGGCTTACCTTTGCCCGTGTCGCGTCATGTTGTTGCATTGTTTCTAAATATTCGACATTCTCTTGTTGGGTCGAGGTTACGCTCGTGTGGCCCTTGGCAATTTTGACAACAACTGCTTGCCTTATCTGATGGGTATCTCCGTAAATGAAATCACTAAGACAGGTCTCCGTGTTCTGAGCCTCGGCTCGTGTCCGTTCTCGGGGCAGCCGATCAACAGGAGCTCCACCGTTTCGAAAGCCAGGCCACAGAGTCGACAGTTCGGGTCCCTGAGTTAGTCAAGTCAGTAGAGGTATATGCGCGTCGTGCAGTGATCCGTCCTCATTTGCGTACAAGCCTTTGTTCTTGTTTAAATTTCCACCAGGGGTTGCTCTTGCTCGGTCGCGGCACGTTGGGGTATAGCTGTCGTCCAGTGTTGCTTAATGCCCAGCCTCTCCTCGCTGAAGTGATCTTTTAGCCAAGCTTTGTCTTCCAACTGAGTCATGGATTTGTGTGGTTGGGGCTTCCGTCCTCACTCCATTCAGTGCAAACAAGCTTTTTCATCAAGTTTAGTTTAGAAGCAGTTTCTGCACACAGTTCGTGGACGTGGTTGTGTAACTCGAGCTTCTGATCCAGCTTCACTCCCAGGTACACTGGAGTCTTGTCCCATTTTTATATTTTTCCCGCTGATGGTGGGAATGTTATGCTTCAGTGCGTTAAGTCCGTTTGTGAAAATGTAATGGACAGTCTTTTCCGTATATGCGACCATTTTTCCACCTGCCGTGTAGGCCTCTATTTTGTTGAGTTCGTTCTGCAGCCAGTTATGCAGTTGTTTCACGACCTTGCACCAGCTCTAAATCACTAGATCATTCGCAAACATGGCGTTCTGAGATTCCAACTCTTCTGGCAGGTGGTGTACATAGGCGAGGAATAGTGTGCCACTTAGAGTGGACACCTGCGGGAGACCGTCTTCGAGGAAGTTTAAATTTCATTGCTCTTTGTCCACCCGTGTGGCGATCTTGCAATTTTTTAAAAAGAAATTCCTCCACCCAGCGGTACTTGTTCTGCAGCTTATAAATTAGGCCCGTGCGCAACACTTTATAGTATGCTTGATGGAGAACAAAGAACACCGCCACGGTGCTTAGTTAAAAAAAATAACACAACCTTTATCAGGGTACAGAGGAGACGCCTCGGGTGATTTGGCTTTCTCTTGTTATCGGCTTTGCGCGCCATCTGGTGTCTGTTCACAGGGATGGACAATGAACATGGGGGAAAAATCATCAGCGGTTCAATACCGTTGACCAAGATATCTTCCAACTCTAGTTAAATATTCACAATTCCTTCATACAAAACCCGTGAACCAGCTGGCATCCCAACAAGGTTACCGCGACCCAACATCCCCCGTTTTGTCCACACACTATAATCGATATCTCCCCCCCCCCACCATACTTTTTAACCACATTTCGCAATCAGTGCTCGCCTATATTCGGCTGTAATATAATGACTAAGTCAAGCTTCACTTTGCCTCGTTATCTTCACAATTCAAACATCATGGCACTCCATCACCATCATTCATTTTTTCGGTCGATAAATTTAAGTTAAAAAGAAAATTAATTCAAATGTTAAAAAGTAACCACGGAAGCCGTAAGCGTCTCCATATTTTGGCTTTTGACAGATTGCTTAATGGAAGCTACTATTTTCAATAAAACCGCCTGGTATAGGAGGATCATGATGGGAAAAATAAGGATAAAAGAAAGAATGCTAACAACATTGTCTCTTTCAAAAAATGTATTCGCTGTTATAATAAATCATAATAATTCACCACCATACTCCAATTACATAATTAGCCAGAATATTTCACCGCGATACTCACATTCTTTCTGCACCAAATGAATATGTGACTTTAAAGCTTTAGCAAAATTACAAGTTGCTCGTTTTGGTCCTGGGCACAATTGACTGGGTGAACAGATTTGGCGCAGACCAATAGACCTGCAGACAGGGAGACTAACTATTTTAAATCTTGTAAAAACTACCAGGGCTGATTAAATGTTATTCGATTAATATTTACTTTCTAAAGCAAATAGTAAGATTTAAGAAAGCTGAACATCAATTTTTCCACCAAGAAAAAGAACAAAAAATACTTAAGTAAAAAATGTACATTGATAATTGGGCTTTAGATTGGCAACACAGGCTGAGAACCGCTGGCATTCTGGAGACTGGTAACACAAGCTGAGGATCGCTGGCATGTCTCCAGGGTTAACAGTATACTTCTGCATTGTGCTATGTACACTTTCTGTTAATAAGTTTATAGTTTCCTGTGTAGTTCTTGTGTTCCCAATTCGGCGATAATGCTCATCTTGCGTCCACCATGCACACGCGATAATTAAATTGTATAAGGGCTAATAGTATCACCATCCATGTTCAATCTAGACTTGCAAAGAACCATATGTATAGTATATATGTATAAATAAATCCTTCAATCACTGCTATCTTTGGCTTTTCCCCTGCTGTTACAACACTGAGTTTTAGTTTAATTTTTTAAAAAAATGTATGAATTTAACACAATAGTACAATGTCAATTCTAAATTCGCACAATCAAAACATGTCAATTGTATCAGCATTCATACAAATCCTTGATTCCCGATACCAAAATAAATCACAATCTCGTGCATTGGGATAGTTGCAGTCCAAGCATCAGCCAGTGTGTTCTGGGAGCATTAGTAGATTGTTGGGATTAATCACAGGTCTTTGTAATATTTCAGCGTCAAATACGACTTAAAAAGAAAGTTTTGTACAAGTTGTTTTTAAAACTCCAACAAGTTTAATCCAGTTGCGATCATCCTGCGGTGTTTGGTGAGCGAACGAATCTAAAACATTTAGTGTTTTTATTTTACATACTGAAGAAACTCCATTTTAGTATCTTAATTGTATCTCTTGTTGACACATACTGTGTTTAAAACTGTTTATTTCTATTAAAAAATCTGTCATATAAGTTTTAAACATTTGTCCGAATGCTCAACCGTGTGCTTTTACATCAGAACTATTTTCATGGCAGTAGCTTCAATGGCAGTCTAGTGTGTTCTATCTGTCACCATCTTGTGAAAGTAAACCTGTTACAACATGCCCTGTTTACTGTTTGGTATCTGAATAAAACACAGAGCTACTTCGGAGAACGTGAGCCCATCATCGTCCCGCGGGGCCAACCAACCACCTGCACGCACATCTCTTTTTTAAAACAAGCACTCACTTTGGACTCGGGGTGTTTTCAACGTTCTTCCCCGCTGCCAGCAACGAGTTCTGCCTCTCGGCAACGCTCGTCTCGGCCACGTTGTCGGGCTTGAAGATCATGCACAGCAGAAGCCTGTGGTACGCCCGCTGGAAGTTGGCGTCCATTATCGTGTAGATGACCGGGTTCATGCTGTACATGACCCACGCCAGGAACGGCGTCCATATGTGAGGCATGGGGTACACAAGCTTACTGTCCACGATGTTGATGGTGAAAAACGGAGTGGTGCCGATGAGGAACCCGAGGAAAATGAGCAGCATCATGCCCGTGAGTCTGAACGACTCGCGCCTGGCGCGCTGTCTTCTGTACTGGCTCCCCTTGGAAACTTTGGTCCTCGACGTGAACACCACGAAGCCGATCCTCGCGTAGCAGAAGCAGATAAAGAGGCACGGGACCACGTAGCCCGCCGTTATCGTGGAGATTTTGTGGGACTTGCTGCTCGTTATGCTGAAGGTGCATTGAAGGATCCGCTGCTGGAAGCTGAATTCCCCCCACCAGCCGACCAACGGGGTGAAGCAGAAGATGAAAGGCAGTGCCCAGCAGAGTATGCACGCGCCTATAAACCACGGACTCTGGGAGTAGACGGTGTAAATTTGGGGATGGACCACGTGAAGAAACCTGAAATAAGAAAAGATGGCCAGCATTTTAAAATTATATCTTTTAAAATAAATACATGCAATAAATGATTTCAAATTTTGTATAACATTTTAATTTTATAAACTTAATTCTTGGCTCCTATACCTAATTTTCCACTTATCCAATGTCTTGTAATGATAGTGATGAGAGTTCACGATGCGCCTAGTAGGCAGCAGTGAAATTTCTCGCACATTTTCTCATTTTTAGAGATTTTTTCTTCAAATTTTATGCCTGGTTGGTTGGATATTTTTCGATCTGAAAGTTTCTTGGACTTTTTAGAGGGTTAACATTTTCACTCATAACAAACTTAGTCGTGTTCCATAATGGGATTTCTTGTCAGGGCATTTTAGGTCATCAGAGCGCTGTGAGCATGCCAACATACCATAGAATTGAGTGCTATATAAGTACTCAAATTTAAAAAAAAATAATGACATTTTAACATGTTTTCTGTATATAATTTAGTTTTTTTTTTTTTTTTTTTTTTTTTTTTTTTTAATAAAATAATTTTTTAAATTTGTTTTTTTTTTTTTTTTTTTTTTGAATAAAATAATTATTTACATCGGTCTTCGGGTATGACATATATTAACCTTGCGCAACTCATATATTTTGTTATTACAATGTCATAGTTAGCCATATTATTACCGGATTGTCGTTTTTCTAACACGCCGTGTTTTAGAAAACCTTCGATGCTGAGCCTGAAGGTTACCAGAAAACAATAGCTTTGTGTAAAAATAATCAAACTTTTCCAGTAATGAAAAGAAAATACAATTCCTTGAAACGTTATAGCATTATTGCTTTATATTCCAAGTTAAGCCACCTTTTAATTATGTCCAGTTAAGTGTTCAACAACGAAATACATGCATAAAGCAAACGTACCCAGAAACACCCTATTACCTTGACATGATCATCATACCTATATAGAGCTATTGTACTCATCACTACCATATTACCTTGACATGATCATCATACCTGTATAGAGCTATTGTACTCAGCACTACCATATTACCTTGACATGATCATCATACCTGTATAGAGCTATTGTACTCAGCAGCACCATATTACCTTGACATGATCATCATACCTGTATAGAGCTATTGTACTCAGCAGCACCATATTACCTTGACATGATCATCATACCTGTATAGAGCTATTGTACTCAGCAGCACCATATTACCTTGACATGATCATCATACCTGTATAGAGCTATTGTACTCAGCAGCACCATATTACCTTGACATGATCATCATACCTGTATAGAGCTATTGTACTCAACAGCACCCTATTACCTTGACATGATCATCATACCTGTATAGAGCTATTGTACTCAGCACTACCATATTACCTTGACATGATCATCATACCTGTATAGAGCTATTGTACTCAGCACTACCATATTACCTTGACATGATCATCATACCTGTATAGAGCTATTATACTCAGCACTACCATATTACCTTTGCATGATCATCATACCTGTATAGAGCTATTGTACTCAGCACTACCATATTACCTTGACATGATCATAATACCTGTATAGAGCTATTGTACTCAGCAGCACCATATTACCTTGACATGATCATCATACCTGTATAGAGCTATTGTACTCAGCACTACCATATTACCTTGACATGATCATCATACCTGTATAGAGCTATTGTACTCAGCAGCACCATATTACCTTGACATGATCATCATACCTGTATAGAGCTATTGTACTCAGCACTACCATATTACCTTGACATGATCATAATACCTGTATAGAGCTATTGTACTCAGCAGCACCATATTACCTTGACATGATCATCATACCTGTATAGAGCTATTGTACTCAGCACTACCATATTACCTTGACATGATCATCATACCTGTATAGAGCTATTGTACTCAGCAGCACCATATTACCTTGACATGATCATCATACCTGTATAGAGCTATTGTACTCAGCACTACCATATTACCTTGACATGATCATAATACCTGTATAGAGCTATTGTACTCAGCACTACCATATTACCTTGACATGATCATAATACCTGTATAGAGCTATTGTACTCAGCAGCACCATATTACCTTGACATGGTCATCATACCTGTATAGAGCTATTGTACTCAGCAGCACCATATTACCTTGACATGGTCATCATACCTGTATAGAGCTATTGTACTCAGCAGCACCATATTACCTTGACATGATCATCATACCTGTATAGAGCTATTGTACTCAGCAGCACCATATTACCTTGACATGGTCATCATACCTGTATAGAGCTATTGTACTCAGCAGCACCATATTACCTTGACATGGTCATCATACCTGTATAGAGCTATTGTACTCAGCAGCACCATATTACCTTGACATGGTCATCATACCTGTATAGAGCTATTGTACTCAGCAGCACCATATTACCTTGACATGGTCATCATACCTGTATAGAGCTATTGTACTCAGCAGCACCATATTACCTTGACATGATCATCATACCTGTATAGAGCTATTGTACTCAGCAGCACCATATTGACGCCAATCAGCCAAATCCTCAAGGCCGCGTGCAGCTCACACAGGACAGGGGCCAGAATCCAGGCCCTGTTGTAGAAGGTCATCGCCTGCAGCGGCAGCACAAACGAGCAGTACACCACGTCCGCCACACTGAGGTGGCAGATCAGGATGCTGTTGATGTTGTTTCGCAGACGACTCGTCATGATTGCGAGGACCGTCAGAACGTTCCCGAAGGCACCGAAGATGGCCAGGATGATGGTCAGGATGGTAGCGGCGTGGAACACGCTGTCTGGGTAGCAGTGGATGCCGTCACACGTCTGGAACGTCTGGTTCTTAAAGGGTTCATAGGTGGACACGTTGTTGGGGAAGTCATCCAACGACCGAATGTGTAGGTCAGATGTCATGGTGCCAAGGGCCGTATACTCCAATGTCAGTAGTTTTAATGTTCTGCAGTTGTTCTGCAGTTCTAGGCTGACTCCGCGAGTTAAACCTGCTACATTTGTTTTCCTTCAACACAGCACGCAACGTTGATTATCATTAGCACTTCCTTGTTGCTTGCGAATCATCATTATGTTTTTATTTAAATCATACACTGTTTTAATGGGGTGGTTTAACTTCAATTTTACAAATGTCTGCTCACAGGAAATACTCTATTCTTAATACAACGTTTGCTTTGACGAGTGCAAGATTGTAAAAACAGGTGATCCGTGAAAATGTAACGTATGTATGTAACGTTGAATAAATTAATTTTAGGAATAAATTAGTTTTAAATAGGAAGTCCAGATGCATGTCAAGGATTTTGATGTAGAGGTAGTGTGCATCTCTTACTGTATTATTTCGTCCAGTAGTTCGGGCACTCTTTTATTAAAGGAGCAATGCCTAATTTGGGCACATCCCCCGAAGTGTACGGGTCATTTGTCAGTTTCCATCATCGCTCAAGGGACCTGCAGTCACGTCGATGCCCGTTAAGTGGAGTTGACCTCTGAGGTTCTTTGATTTAGCCTGGCGACCTGGTAGGAAAAAAAATAGAAACAGTTACAAATCTGTCAATTTACATCAACTCAAAATTTGAATTCTGGTGCAAGAAAATGGAAGCCGATTTTTTTTACCTTTGTTAAATGTGTCGGTCTGGGCACAGGTTCTAGGGAAGCGCTTATAAAATAGCCGAGACTGCTCATTAATTACTGAAGTGGCCTGTCTGAGCGCTGCCTCATATAAACCTCTGTGACAGTTTTGAGACTCATGGCATCCACACACGCACACTTTTACCCGTTATTCGGATAGCATCTCACGACCTACTTAGTACTCGCGTACTCCAATCATGCACACACCTTGGCACCGCATCTGGTCTAGGGTTTTACCGTGAAATTCCTCAGTCCTCGTTACAATTTACAAACTTAGCTGAAATGACTTTCTTCTTTCTCCTCCCTTGATCGATAGACATGACCAGGATAAACATCCCGCATAATGCCACCACCTTCAACACGGCTCCCCAAGGGGTTGGGGGAAGGGGTGCCAGGCACATAGACCGTTAGTTAAGGCATGCCTACCAGTGGCGTTCTTAACCTTAATCATTTGTTTGGCAATGACGCAATCGGCTGCGGGGGCAAACGGGCTTAAAAAAAGAAGAAAAAAAAAAAGAATATAGATCAAACATTTCATCTGGAAGAGTCTCATTGTAGATAGACAGCAGGTAGATCAAGCATTTTATCGGAAAGATCCTCACTAGATATTCATATTTAAAATATCATAATTTTTGGGATTAAAAGAAGAACGACATTTTTAAATAGCTTTTGACTTATATGTATAATATATTAATGTATAAATGTATGTTTGTATATATTTATGTATGCATACATTAATTTCTAGGATACAAGAAAGTTTAAAGCAGATATACTTTATTTTCCATTTTTAAGAGTATGCTGCGAACGTTCTCTCGCTCTGTTTATGTGAGTTTTTCTCATGAATTCCATCTAAGGCCATGCTTTTTTTTCTTCCCTTCTTTCTTCATGTCCTTTTTTTTTTTTCTTTCGTTCATAAATATACGTATTTTTAGTTAATGTATAGATATTAAACGTTTAGTTACCCAAGCATTTACAGCCCGCAACGACATGCAGGTCTCGAAAAATAGTGTTTTGAGATACCGTAGGTGTTTAAAAAAAATCAATTTCAATAACAACCGGACGGGGTGGATATGCTTACACGAGTAATCACTAGCCACAGTGTCCGGATGTTTTGTCTTACTTCGAGAACCACTGTTCCTGGATGTCGCGCCTTTCTTTGAACACCGTTGGTAATGCTGAATGATGGCTATCACATGGAGAGGGAGGCACACGGGTCTGCTTTTGTGTTATCACGCGTCTGAACAGGTGGTTGGCTGAATGTCCATCAAACAACAACTGTTTGACTTGAAGGATATTGATCTTTTTGTTTTTTGTGATTCTTTTTTTCTTATGCACATTCTATAGTTCTTTCTACCCCCCGAAAATAAACAAATGCCAACTCTGACACATTTCGCTGAAATGAGCTCAACAAATCCAAATCGTATAGTTCCACGGCTTGACCCCCCCCCCCATAGACCTATCGTCTCTATTTTCTAACTTAACGAGATATTATGACGTGAAAATGATGATAAACTATTGGATTGTTTTTATGTGAACCCTGGCTTTTAATCACGGTAAATTATGAGTGTGCTATTGAAGCAAACCGTTAAAATATGATGCATATTGTTAGGATGACTTCTCTGCTGATGACTTGTATATACTTTCGTTCGCATGGGGAAAAAATCATTTAATGTTGGGCCAGACCAATAATTACAGCCACAATATTTTGTATTTTTAGTGTAGCCAAAATAAAATAAAATTGTGTTCAATGTCGCTGCTTCTCGGTACTATTTCGTGTTAGTACACATTACGTAAAAAGTAAAGTTTGCACAGCACGATGAATTAGAGATGATTTGAATTGTGACGAACGGATTGGCACAAAGACCGATTTAAATGATAATGAAACAGAAAGGAGAATAACATTGGCATGACACAGCCAAAGAAAATGTTGGTTATTAAGTTTATAATGTCCTCAGGTATAAGATTAAGCCAGAGGCTCTCAAGCGTTACCCCTTTTGTGGACCGGTTCACACTTATTACGTGACGGTGATAACCTACTGTTGCGATGTCACAGTTATGATTATGAATGTGTAAACCACTGATGGGAGACAAGTAATATACTTAGATCAAATAGTTCTTGTACAAGGTACAGGGTGTTGAGACTTGAGAGGAACTGGCCAATCAGAGTGTATGATTGAATAATAGCATAGAGAGGAAAATAGAATAGAGAGGAACTGGCCAATCAGAGTGTATGATTGAATAATATCATAGAGAGGAAAATAGAATAGAGGGGAACTGGCCAATCAGAGTGTATGATTGAATAATAGCATAGAGAGGAAAATAGAATAGAGGGGAACTGGCCAATCAGAATGTATGATTGAATAATAGCATAGAGAGGAAAATAGAATAGAGAGGAACTGGCCAATCAGAGTGTATGATTGAATAATATCATAGAGAGGAAAATAGAATAGAGAGGAACTGGCCAATCAGAGTGTATGATTGAATAATAGCATAGAGAGGAAAATAGAATAATTGTGGAGTAACAGAGAGCGCTTTTTTATGTATGAGGACTTTGTAAATTCCATTTTGAAGTAAAAGAAGATTATATCATGGAAGTATAATGAGAATTGACATTTGTGGGATGTGCTTTATAGTATCTTCATATTTCTTTGAAACGTATTGACTATTTTAGATAGTATGAATGTCGATTTTTAAAAAGTTACTGCTTGAACCACATCGTCTCGACTACTCTTAATACTTTATAACTCAATATAACAGTGGCATTCGCCCTATCAAGTAATCGAATATAGTAGATTTGAACCATATAGTCAAATGTAAGTAAGGCAAAGAATGTGGGGGCATTATTTTGTCCACTCTTTATCTACAAATAATTTTTAAAAAAATCAACAAGATGTGTTAATAATATATTTTTTAATTGAAAAATTAAGCAATCTATACGTTTTTAAGCTAGTAGTTTAAGAATGTTTTATGACTATCTTAAGGATGTGACGCTATAACAAAACATTTGTGCGAAATTTCTTTTACCTCAAATTAATGTCAGACATTTTGAGGGAGTTTGCGTGTGTGTGTGCATTTTGTTCGTTTATTTTGGTTGGGGGGGGGGTGTTTGGGGTGGTGTGATTTTTCACTTATATGAAATAAAAAATTTAAATTTCTTTTCTTCCCCGTTGAAGTAATTCCAAAATACACCCGCCAGACTCCACTCCACCCACCCACCATGGGTCATTCAAGAAAGCAACCTAACAATAGCCAGGCTCAGTGAGCAATCTGTGAACAGTTCACCGGTCACAACAGGCGGGCGGCCGATGGCGATCCTCCGTAACACCACCCTCGGTGAGGAAATCACACGCTATCACTGCTCACCCGAACATGCACTGGCTTACTTCTGCCCGCATCGCGCCAAGTCGTTGCATTGTTTCTAAAATAACACGACCTTTATCAGGGTACAGCGGAGACGCCCGTTAGACTCGGCTTTCTACATGTCGCCGGCGTTCGCGCGTCTTCCGGTGTCTGTTCCACGGTGGACAAGAAATATGTTGACACGGGGGCTTCTAAATAAACAACTTGCGCGCAGATGAGCTCGCCATGATTTTGCCATAGGACAAAGTTGTCATGTCACTGTTTCCACAAGGATGGCTGAAATACCACGGCTCTGTGGGTTAAGTCATCGTGCCATAGTTTTGTTAGTTTTCATTTAAAAGAAAAACTTACACTTGGAAATAACTTACATAGTTCTACGTTCAATAAGATTTTTTCCCCCTTCTCAATTCGTTTAAATTTTGTTCCCAAATAAGTTTACCTCCATCTCCACGAAATGGATCAAAATTCCGATGTGTATTATGTCAAATCGACCTGAACCCTCACCCCCCCCCCCACACACACACATACACATTTTTTTTCTCCTCATATTTCTCTACTATGATCACACTGTGGGATACTGGTCCTTAGCAGTAAGTCATATTTCTCTACTATGATCACACTATGGGATACTGTCCTTAGCAGTAAGTCATATTTCTCTACTATGATCACACTGTGGGATACTGTCCTTAGCAGTAAGTCATATTTCTCTACTATGATCACACTGTGGGATACTGTCCTTAGCAGTAAGTCAACGTGTCCATCTCCGTCACGTTTTGGATGTCACCATAGACTTTATTCAGTGTTGAGTGTCTCCAAGTCGTTGCCAAAGTGTCTCACAGTCTTTCTTACAATCAATCCCGTCCTTGGGAATGCCATTTTGCTGGCTCATTCCCCCCCCCCCGCCCAAACGTGTGCCAGGCTGCACGTGAATGATCATAACGGGATAATACCATCTCGTAATGGCAACTTAATGTCTTGCACACCGCACCTGTGTCAGGCTTAACCTGAATGGAGCAATACGTTCTCGTAATGTCATCACCAAAACGTCGGAGTTACTCTATAACAAGACACGCTTATTTTAAATGTCTCTACAGAAAGGAACTTGCTTTGTTTTTGTGTTTGTTTGTTTTTTCCTGATAAAAATGTGTATCCTTTCCTGATCGTAACCAAAGAAAATGACGTGGGTTAACCATGTTGTTGTTGTTTTTTTTGTTGTTTTTTGTGCGTTTGATAGGCGAGGAAAAAAACCACAAAACCTTTGAAGAATTGCTCCTCTGGTCTATATTTTAAAACAATACTATATTTCAACGTTTTCGTGTGGTGACATATTGCGTTTAACGGTTCGTGTGGAAAAATCACTGGCACCCCGCTCAGGGGCTCAATACCGTTGACCAAGATATCTTCTAACTCTAGTTAAATATTCACAATTCCTTCATTCAGAACACGCGAACCTGCTGGCACCCCAACAAGGTTACCGCGACCCAGCCTCCCCCGCCCTGTCTGCTCGCTCTAATCGATATCTGCCTTCCCCCCCCCCCCAACCTTACACCCCAGTTTCGCANTTATATAATAAACCAGAATATTTCACCACGATACTCCTATTATATAATAAACCAGAATATTTCACCACGATACTCCTATTATATAATAAACCAGAATATTTCACCACGATACTCCTATTATATAATAAACCAGAATATTTCACCACGATACTCCTATTATATAATAAACCAGAATATTTCACCACGATACTCCTATTATATAATAAACCAGAATATTTCACCACGATACTCCTATTATATAATAAACCAGAATATTTCACCACGATACTCCTATTATATAATAAACCAGAATATTTCACCACGATACTCCTATTATATAATAAACCAGAATATTTCACCACGATACTCCTATTATATAATAAACCAGAATATTTCACCACGATACTCCTATTATATAATAAACCAGAATATTTCACCACGATACTCCTATTATATAATAAACCAGAATATTTCACCACGATACTCCTATTATATTATAAACCAGAATATTTCACCACGATACTCCTCTTATATAATTAACCATTATATTTCACAACGCAACTCATAAAAGGAGAAAGAGAAATACTTAGTTTTAAAAAAAATATTTTCTTTTTAAATGTATTTTGTATAATTCGACAAAACAGGCTGAGAACCGCTAGTGTATCTCCGAGGTCACGTCCTAATAATATGATTAACACGTATCTGCCTGGTTTCGACGCTCGCTCCGCCACCAAAAAGAAATATTTTAAAAAAAGATGTTACAACGGTTGGGTGGCTGACAAGCGCTAATTTAAAAAACCTCTATTTATCTTCTGATTTCTAAAGAGCTGCCCAAGGATAGCATTTTTAATTATTTTTTTTTTTAAATTGTTTGTTTAGTTTGATAGGGCCTTTATCAATCACGCCTCCTCGTCAGGATCAAAAAATGGTTCTGTAGAACATAATTAAAAGCTCCAAAAAAAAAATAATATAATAAAATAAATAAAAAATCGAATCCCGTTAAAAATAACTTAGTTGTTTCCTGTATTTATTGAGCTAGAGTAAGCATGCAATAATAAATATAAATTCAGTGGCACTATTTGATATTGAGAAACATGAGATCAACTTAAATAAAAACCAGCGTTCTAACCAGATTCTAACTTTAAAAAAAATAAAAAAAATGAATTTTCCTAAATGATATCCACTAAAAGTATTTTTAAATCTATGTTTAAGATATCAGTAAACTTTTTTTTAAATAATCACATCTTTTCCATTCTCGTACACTCACTTCGTGCAGTCACTTTTCTCCCTTCAATCTCTCTCCCCTCGGATTTAAGTGGCACATAAATTATATTTTTATATTGATTACTTCAATCGTTGAGGGATTCTAAGAGAACCGGTTGTAACTCTGGGACATGACATGATAGATTCACTCATCACATCTGCTTCATACCGACACTGATCATTCATTTCCGTTCGGGTCATTACGCTGACGAAAGAAGTAATTATGCCGAGCAATTACCGGCCATTGTCACACAAGCCTTTAAAGTTGAAGGTGACAAGGCGTTTCTTCACACACGTGCACACACACACACACGCACACACACGCACACACATTCAATAAAAATAAACAATAATAATTCTGAAGTACTCCAGAACGAGATTTATGGGATTGGACATTCATGTAGTGCAATGGACAAGCGATTTATAAATATTGACCGATCAGTGGCAAATGGGTTTTTTTATGGTCAAGCGTATAATGGAGACGTTTACCAAAGAATACAGCAACTGGTGCGTCGGTTTTGTGGACACACAAAGAATAAAGTCATGCATATGTTCTACCAAGTATGAGAACGATAGATAGATGATGGAATAGACAAGCGATTGTAGGATGGACTAGACAAGTGGTTGTAGGATGGAAGGGAACAGGCAAGTGGTTGTAGGATGGAAGGGAACAGGCAAGTGGCTGTAGGATGGAAGGGAACAGGCAAGTGGGTGTAGGATGGAAGGGGACAGGCAAGTGGTTGTAGGATGGAAGGGAACAGGCAAGTGGCTGTAGGATGGAAGTGAACAGGCAAGTGGCTGTAGGATGGAAGGGAACAGGCAAGTGGCTGTAGGATGGAAGGGAACAGGCAAGTGGCTGTAGGATGGAAGGGAACAAGCAAGTGGTTGTAGGATGGAAGGGAACAGGCAAGTGGTTGTAGGATGGAAGGGAACAGGCAAGTGGTTGTAGGATGGAAGGGGACAGGCAAGTGGTTGTAGGATGGAAGGGAACAGGCAAGTGGCTGTAGGATGGAAGGGAACAGGCAAGTGGCTGTAGGATGGAAGGGAACAGGCAAGTGGTTGTAGGATGGAAGGGGACAGGCAAGTGGTTGTAGGATGGAAGGGAACAGGCAAGTGGTTGTAGGATGGAAGGGAACAGGCAAGTGGTTGTAGGATGGAAGGGAACAGTCAAGTGGCTGTAGGATGGAAGGGAACAGGCAAGTGGTTGTATAATGGAAGGGAACAGGCAAGTGGTTGTAGGATGGAAGGGAACAGGCAAGTGGTTGTAGGATGGAAGGGAACAGGCAAGTGGTTGTAGGATGGAAAGGAACATTAGGAACAGGCAAGTGATTGTAGGATGGAAGAGAACAGGCAAGTAGTTGTAGGATGGAAGGGAACATTCGGAACAGGCAAGTGGTTGTAGGATGGAATGGAACATGCAAGGGTTTGTTGGACGGAAGGGACTAACCATAAGTGAATTAAGAAAGGTATATCAACTTCGTTGTAGAAAGCCGTTGCTACTGAATTGGTCAAGATTTATCCTCTGGAATAAAAGTACGGACTCATTGTTAAAGTTATTATTATTTTTTATCTTATTTTATTGATATCTCATTATTTATTGAATGTTTTCTATCGTTGTGTGCAAAAAAATAATTGCATGTAATAACTGGTGGAGATTAAATTCATGTCATAACACATCATCTAGTTTGGATCTATTGGCGGATCCCAATGTTATAAAAGCCTTTCACTTTTTAAGTTAGCATGAAATGATTATATTTGAAGAAAGCAATATTCAGAAGCATCCATTCGGTACCATGGACTTAAGGTGGTGAGTTTAAAACTTAAATTGTTTTTGATAGAAATGTTTATTACGTTATGATTTGATGTTAAACTAACGTATTTTGCTGAACGGATTTTGGAGGAGCGAAGACAGTTGGAACAATGATTTCTATAAATTTAATAAACCATTTATTTGCTCAACATTTAGGCAATTTTAATGGAATAAATATTCCCTTGATTTCTGTATTCACGCCACAATTCAAAGATCCTCAAACATTGCAATATTTGCCATTGATGTGAATACAGCTATAGAGTAGTTTAAGTCAAAATGAGCAAGTGGTACTTAAAAATTCTCAAGGACTCTAGAAGTGGTCCTCCCTGGGTGACGGTTTAGGGAGAATCTATCGGAATTTTAAAAACCATACTTCTTGTAAGACGTCAGGTTTTTAAACAAACCACCCTAGGCTTTTAGGGCCTAACTTCACTAACTTCAATACATGGATTAAAGGTGTGTGTTTTTGTTGTTTTTTAATAATAAAAAAAAAAATAATTAAATAAAGTCTTGGACCATTATCTTCATGTTTAAACCACTTGTGTTGTATAGTAAACGGATCAAGTGCGTCCTTCCTGGTTTGTGAAGTGTTAGGCACGATGTCCATTACATGATGTAGGGCAATGGGTCGTTAATCTTGGCTGTTGTAGAGCTGTACTGACATACACGACAGCCTGCCCTTTCACGGATCGGCTCAGTTTTATGTTGTCTCTGGCCAAGACAAAAAGTACTGATGTAATCGATGGCGTCCATTCGTAGTCTCCAGTTTTTTTAATATTCGAAACCTGCCTATACTTCTGAGATGACCACATACAAAATCAGAGCATTGATTTGGGTTAAATTAGCCTGGTTAAGGGTTGGTACAATTTTTGGTAGACGGCTCTACTCCACTGACAGCCTTATGTCTGAGAAAAATTTGGAGGGAGTCCTAGACGTAGCTCTAAATAATGAAATATATAGCACAGTGTGTGTGAAAAGAAAGAATTAACACACAATAAAATCCTACGTAATGTAACAGATGTCTTGATTATGGGCTGCCAAATTACAGACAAGAATGTGGTGGTGTGGGTTTGAACCTGACTTCTTGTCATACTATTCAGGCAGTGTGCGAGGCCGCTTGGCCGAAGAGGCTGAATATTTTACATGCCAAGATAGCGTTCCGTATCAAAAAGCGATACATTTAATATCTGGATATTCTAGTAACCGTCAGCGTGTGCACTGTTATTTTCGCCGTTGGCGCCGAAATAATACTTTCCGCCATGCGAGCCCAGATGGTTAAAGAACAGTGTCCGATTGGGGGGCCGAGATTGATCCCTAGGCGCGTGGTTTTGAAGAAGAGGAGAGAAAAAAACGTGTGAAGATTCGAATGCCTCACAGTGTGAAATATTAATGAACCCGAGTCAAGAGAGAGAGAGAGAGAGAGTGTGTTCACCCGACCCGTGGAGACGGGGTAGAGCTGTCGTCTTGAGATGCTGAGACGTAAATCATATTATTTCTTGACTTGTGTGGGGGTGACGATGTTGTGGAAAGCTTGTACCGGGGGAGGAGCGTACTTCACACGTCTCCTCCCATCTGGCGTTGTAAAGTGAAAATAAAAAATAAAATAAAAATAGCAGCGAATGATGGGAGTAGAGGCACCTACTATTCACGTGATATTCCTTCTATTCACAAATATTCATGGATGGGTGGGGTGAGGATTCGGGGCTGTGGGTGGATCATTGATACCTCTTTTTAATTTTTTTTCTTCTTTTATTTTGTTGGGGAGGGTGGGGGGAATCTTCTTTTCAAGTTAAGCTTCTGCCTCATTGCACATGTTAGATTATTATTGGGTGGACGGATTAGCTTTAGAAAAGGGACAGCATAACTATAGGGGAAAAAAAACAACTAGCTAATTATATTCAAATAATTCCACAGTGTAAGGAATGCAGGAAGAAAATCATATTTATTTGCATATTATTCGCAGTTTTAATTCTGGTGTGGGGGTGGGGGCGGGGGTGGGGGTATGTTTTGGAAAACAAAAAAGATAGGGGTGCGGAAAATGTATGGAAATCAAGAGGGGTGCGGTGCTGCCAATAGGTTGAGAGCCCCTGGGGTCTAAGTCTAAGCAGAGTGAAGATGAAATGGTCAAAATGGCGGCGAGGAAACCTTTATCAACTTTATCAGCATTAGTAAAATAGTCAGCAAACTATATGTGTTCGTGAGTGGGTCGAATTATGTGTTGTTAGGTGAGTGGGTCGAAATGTATGTGTTGTTGGTGAGTGGGTCGAAAAAGATGTGCTGTCGGTGAGTGGGTCGAGCATAGTGTACAATTACACATAATTGCGTGTCAAATGCTTCTAGAGTTCTGCTCTTATTGAAATGTTTACGTCCGAAGCACTAGATCACTCCATGGTGAAGTAAACCATTTTATCACATTCCGTGCCGGCCACGGGGGAATTCACTCTCCAACACACGAGTCTCTACACTGTATGGCACTGCGTAACACCTTAAATAATAAAAATAACTACTAATCAAAGCGCCCCCCCCCCTTTTTTTTTCAGCCTAAAGATACTCATTTCTTTCAGAGTTCCAAGTTGGGTAATCCTGGGACTAAAATTAGTAGACCAAATCCAGACTAATTTAGTCGAACTTGACGCTGTGTGAATTCTCAAAGTTAAAATGGGCTCATCCATTTTAGTCAATTATATATATATATATATATATAATTTTTTTTCTCTTTCGCTCACCGTTAACGGCTTCCGAATCACGCGTCAAGTTTGACGGGGCGAGTCCGACCTGTTAGCGCCATTAAAACGTGAGTGCACTCTGATGTAGGCTCAGCCATGCTTCATACACATCTAATTGCTGGGACGCTGACATTCATGTAGTCCACTAGGAAAGTGTTTTGTTTTATCTACAGGTGAACAGTGAAAACTAAGGCTCGCCCTTGACGACAGGCCCTTCTACTGCAGCGTTTCTCAGCCTGTGGGTCGGGACCCGTTTGGGGGAGGGGGCCGAACGACCCTTATACAGGGGTCGCCAAAGACCATCGGAAAACACATATAATATTTATATATATATATGAAGTAGCGACGAACATAACTTTATGGTTGGGGGTCACCACAACACGAGGAACTGTATTAAAGGGTCGTGGCATTAGAAAGGTTGAGAACCACTGTTCTACTGTGTTAAGCTGAACATTTTCCAATAACCCAGGTACTATCCCCACCTCCCACCCCCAATCCCGGTAAACAGTGACCCCCTTGGTTCTTAACGGTAATGTTGTGTCAGTCATGTTGGGGTGAAACGAACATAAAATGACGTAGAAACAAAATGGCAAATTTAAGGAAGGGCTGTGGTACAGTGCAGTGTGCATTTAATATAATACCAACTGTGCATACATTGCCAGATGTATACATGTCTGTTTCACCCAAAGTAACTGAAATGAGTGTGGGCCGGGCGGGAAGGTGCGTGCACAGTATACTGGGCTGCTTTATACTTTTTGATCCGCCACTGCCTGCGTTTGCTCAATTCGGTTAAGTGGGGAAAAGAAAAGTTAAAGCCTGCAGGAATGAGTGGAGGAAGTATTGGAGAGCCCTGGACATATTGCCCTGGACATACTGCCCTGGACATACTGCCCTGGACATACTGCCCTGTACACTTCTGTTCATGTTTATATCCAAACGTAAAACTTCATCACCGAAAGCGCACGCCGAGCTATATGTCAACGGTATCATAGGGCTGTATGTCAACGGTATCATAGGGCTGTATGTCAACGGTATCATAGGGCTGTATGTCAACGGTATCATAGGGCTGTATGTCAACGGTATCATAGGGCTGTATGTCAACGGTATCATAGGGCTGTATGTCAACGGTATCATAGGGCTGTATGTCAACGGTATCATAGGGCTGTATGTCAACGGTATCATAGGGCTGTATGTCAACGGTATCATAGGGCCGTATGTCAACGGTATCATAGGGCCGTATGTCAACGGTATCATAGGGCTGTATGTCAACGGTATCATAGGGCTGTATGTCAACGGTATCATAGGGCTGTAAAATAAAAAATATTAAAAGTTTGAATTTTCTTGCGTCGAAGCCAATTTCCAATAATCATCTTTAACTATCCCCCTTGCTTTACTGAAGCGTCTACACACTGAGATTCCTTCCTATTGTGTATTACTATACCGCCATCTTGTTGAAGCTGTAACATGCACAGCGACTACAACCCAGACAACGATTCCAGGTTGAGGGTAGCCGAAAGGGCATAGAAATTTCGGAAAAAAAGGGGTTGTCCTCCATAGCATGTAAAGACTGAATCCGGCAAATTGTGCGGAAGAAACACTACTTGGTCAACGGACAACAGGCGGAGACAGCACAGTGGTGTGAATCGCTGAGAACATAACCAGACACGTAGAACGCCATGGTCACTCACTGCATGGGTGACTGGGTGGCCGAATGGTCTAAACTGAGCAAACCTCAATTTCAGCCAAAGACCAGTCAAGCAAAAACATCACCCCGGGTGGATGAGACTCGTTAACCTTGGTCGGCAACTCATCTAAGAGAAGGAAACTCTGAATTCAAACCCGGAGTTGGAGTCCCGTAAGGCGAATACAATGTCAATTCCTGCAACCGTACCCATCCCTGGCCGTCTCGACGTAGAGTCTTGCCACTGGATATGGTGGGCTCGGACGAGAGAGTGAGGTTGACGCTGCGCAACTCTTCCTCACTTTAAACAAAAGTCACCCGCGCAAGTCATCAGTCACCAGAGCTATATGTCAACGGTATCATAGGGCTGTATGTCAACGGTATCATAGGGCTGTATGTCAACGGTATCGTAGGTATGTCAACGGTATCATAGGGCTGTATGTCAACGGTATCATAGGGCTGTATGTCAACGGTATCATTGGGCTGTATGTCAACGGTATCATAGGGCTGTATGTCAACGGTATCGTAGGTATGTCAACGGTATCATAGGGCTGTATGTCAACGGTATCATAGGGCTGTATGTCAACGGTATCATAGGGCTGTATGTCAACGGTATCATAGGGCTGTATGTCAACGGTATCATAGGGCTGTATGTCAACGGTATGTTAGGGCTGTATGTCAACGGTATCATAGGGCTGTATGTCAACGGTATCATAGGGCTGTATGTCAACGGTATCATTGGGCTGTATGTCAACGGTATCATAGGGCTGTATGTCAACGGTATGATAGGGCTGTATGTCAACGGTATCATAGGGTTGTATGTCAACGGTATCATAGGGCTGTATGTCAACGGTATCATAGGGCTGTATGTCAACGGTATCATACTGGTGCAGTTTTTAACGCAAAATTCGATTTCTTCGACTTGATGGATGTTTCAATTTGGTTTATGTCGACTTTTTATGCATTCGACAGGTTTGCTGTATGCCCGTCTTGTCGTAACTATTTTCCAGCTATATGCCAATCTTCTCCTAGTTATTTTCCAGCTGTATGCCCATCTTTTCCTAATTATTTTCCAACTGAATGTCCATCTTGTCCTACTTATTTTCCAGCTGTATGCCCATCTTGTCCTATTTATTTTCCAGCTGCATGCCCATCTTGTCCTACTTATTTTCCAGTGGTATGCCCATCTTGTCCTACTTATTTTCTTGCTTTGTGCCCATCTTGTCATACTTATTTTCCCGCTGTATGCCCATCTCGCTTACTAATTTTCATGATGTCTCCCATCTTGCCCTACTTATTTTCCTGCTGTATACCCAGGTGCCCTACTTATTTTTTTACTGTATGCCCATCTCGACCCACTTATTTTCATGCTGTATGCCCCTCTACTTATGGTTTTTCTACTTTTCCTTGTCTGTTTTCGATCACAAAATATCATTTCTCGTGGCGAACATTGAACATACTGTACACCAGTCCACAGAATTGTTAAAACAACCTTGAAACGGTACTTCTCAAGCCACGAAATGGCGTGGATATTATTTTAAAAGACATCTGTCCAAAATGGAGTTTCCGTATTTTCATTTCTTACAGTGTTTCATTGCAAACATATTCTTCGCCATCCGAGCTTGTTCAGTCATAAACATAAGTCTAAAATTAAAACTTAGGTTGACTTTAGGGGGGATTAAATAAATTTTTTAAAAAATTAAAAAAAAAACACACACACACACAAACTGACCTGGCAACAAATCTTATAAACGGCTCTGAGAATCCCCGGCCCTATCATTGTAATGGAGCCGTTTAACAAAGGTAACATTAAAAAAAAAAATCAAAAATTGTGAGACTCACTGCGCAATCCTTCTGCCCACCAACCATAAAAAGCTCAGCGTAACCACCAGACTATGCGAGATTGATGCATGCAGGGCTCTCACGCCCACTCGGTACATCCACCGAAGGAAGAGATAGGGACAATGCAGCTCAGAGCCATCTCCCGGGACAAGGGGTGGGTTGTCCGGAGGTCATAGTAAATGAATTATGGGACGGGGAGGGACAGGATGCTGTGCACGCGACATAGAATTTATGTGATTGGGGGGGGGGCAAGGTTGCCAATACCGCCTACTGTCCAGCTAGGAGGTCACCGAGATGTTGGGATGATGTCACAAGTGGCGCGAGCTTTGATCTGGATTGTGTCCATAGTTATGTGACTTGTCATCCACTGTCGAATGTCTTGTGTTTTAGCATCGAGATTACAATATTACCGCGCCTCCCCCCCCCCACCCTCACCAAACTTCCGTTAACGTGTCTTCTTAATCTCGGTGTGTTTAACTGTCACCTACCAGAAAGTTACCGATCAAATTTGTGGCTGTAATTATATCGCTTAAACTTCATTAAATGTTTCAACTTCTTAACACTGGCTGTGTGTTTAAGCAGCTCTATTTTTTTTTCTATTCATTATGGGTCATCTCAAGATCCTACGCATTATTTATTATGTTTAAAAAGTGCTCCACTATTTCCCTTATTCCGTTTATTGGCCAGACTGACGTGGCATAAATTCTTTAAGCCGGAGAAAAAGTACGCAATGTAATTACAAGCTCAGTCTTTTTTTTTTTTTAATGTATAAAAAATATTGATTTAAAAAAACGAATTTGTTCTTTCTTTCAATTTACCTGCGATCCTTACCGAGAAATTCCAATATTTTTATATAACTAACTTTTTGAAACTAATTTCATCGACATTTTTTTTTTTTTATCCATAGGACGCCCCACGAGTTCCTCAGTTTATTGATAAGTTCAACATTTTTTGACAGATCCCATTCCCCCAGATAATCATAACCGACCAATGCTAAGAACCGGACTTCTTTAATAGATCTTTAACAATCGTGTCTTCACATTCCTTGCTTGCATATTTCTATTAAAAAAAAAAAAGCTTATCCTTACAGCTAATCGAAGAATCCTATCGGAGTTCTGAACACAATAACTTAAATACTAGCTTTTATAATGCTCACCTCCTGACAAGTCGGCTCCTCTAGATCAGTCAAACATCCACGACGCCACCACGTCTAACATGAAAAAGGCCGACGCGCACGCCTTCCCTTCAACGCAATTATCCCAACACTAAGACTTGTAGGAGAGTATCCTCGCCACACAATGACCTCTTGTTGTGTCTCTGCGGATTAGCTTAAACACGCGGAGACGTTACGTGCGCTGTGAACCCCCACCAACTACCTTAACGGTCCTCAAACTTTTACCAAGACCACCGTACACGCTTCGGGAGACTTTGATTTTAATCAGCCTGGTGAGCTAGACAAATCCCATTTAAAGCAATTAGTTCATAGTTATAAAATGTATGTATAACATTTAAAGATAAAATTGTATTTAAAGATATTATAATTTTACAAGATTAATATTCGGAAATGAAAGAAGAAAACAAAACAGAGAACGTACCATTTAAATAAATCGGCAGTTTAAAAAAAAAAAATAGATATTAAAGGTTCATTTGTTGAATCTCAGAAGTTAGCAGCGCCAAATACTGGGGGCGCTTAAAATTAGAAGTCTCAACCTACGCAGCAATTTGGCTAATGTCTCAAGCTGCTAAAATAGCGATTGAAAAAGAAAAAAGAAAACAAAAAAAAAAACGTACCATTTAAATAAATCGGCAATTTAAAAAAAAAAAATAGATATTAAAGGTTCATTTGTTGAATCTCAGAAGTTAGCAGCGCCAAATACTGGGGGGGGGGGCGCCCTCGCAACCCCACCTTCCCCCTTCCACCACACACACACACTTTTTTTTTCCAAATCCAATTTTCCTAAATTAAGTTGATTTTGAGAACTTTTTGTTCCAAGTTCCCCTTGTTTTATAATGAGTAAATTGACCACCCCCTACCACTGCCTCCCCCATCAGTTTGTCCTAGTATTGGTATCTGCTGCTGATGGTGTAAAAACTATTTCTAAAACCTACTCCGTTCATCCGAATAACACCCTCCGTCCGGAGATGATGATTGGAAATGCTTAAATTCCTCTTTTTAGACGGTAATTAAAAAATAAATAAATAAATAAATAAACATTTCTCGATGACTTTAAACTTTATTTAGACCAGCGGTTCTCATACTACGGCCTGCGTGCCAGATCTGGCCCGCCAGCGGTACTCAATCCGGCCCGCATGACCGCCGTCAGAGTAGCTGGATAGCAGCGACAACTATAAAACCAGACATTGATATATAATTAGCCAAATTTCCCTTTGAAATACTATGACGTTTCTGTTGGATGTATTTTTTTTCTTTATTTTAAAAATGTTATTGTTTTTTAAGTGTCTTCCCCCCCCCCCCAAACTACAAATACAATAAATGCAGCGGGCATAGCTTCCATTCATATTTTTTTTCAAAATATATTCTGGTCCCCGACAGTGATAAGGATTTCGAGCCGGCCCCTCGTTTAGACCCTTAGACTCTGGCATTCTTACTGCTACTCTTACAGGGTCAAGTTTGCTCTCGTGTCATTTAGCACCTCTTACTCTGGTATTCTTACTGCTACTCTTACAGGGTCAAGTTTGCTCTCGTGTCATTTAGCACCTCTTACTCTGGTATTCTTACTGCTACTCTTACAGGGTCAAGTTTGCTCTCGTGTCATTTAGCACCTCTTACTCTGGTATTCTTACTGCTACTCTTACAGGGTCAAGTTTGCTCTCGTGTCATTTAGCACCTCTTACTCTGGTATTCTTACTGCTACTCTTACAGGGTCAAGTTTGCTCTCGTGTCATTTAGCACCTCTTACTCTGGTATTCTTACTGCTACTCTTACAGGGTCAAGTTTGCTCTCGTGTCATTTAGCACCTCTTACTCTGGTATTCTTACTGCTACTCTTACAGGGTCAAGTTTGCTCTCGTGTCATTTAGCACCTCTTTGGATTCTATTTGTTAACATTGTTTGAGAAACCCTGATTATAATTTTTTAAAAAAATTAATTATTATAATTTTTTTTTTAAATCCTTATAACGACCCACAAGACTTACAACCCCACAGGGCATACTTAGCTCTGGTTGTGACTGTGAACGACCCACAAGACTTACAACCCCACAGGGCATACTTAGCTCTGGTTGTGACTGTGAACGACCCACAAGACTTACAACCCCACAGGGCATACTTAGCTCTGGTTGTGACTGTGTGTGAAAAAAGGTGCGTGTGTGCGTGTGAAGGCTGGGGGTGGTGTTGTGGGGTTGGGTGGACTGAAGAAAAGATTGATTACCCCAATGTTTTAGTTACACGATCAACTGTTGTACATTTGGGCCTAGCGTGTACTTGATGTGACGTAGTAGGGGGCTTTGCTTACACCTTGCAGCGCCTGTAATTATCCTAATCTTTTCTATCTCAGGGCTTCTCAATTATTTTTGTTTAAATTTATTTATTTATGAACCGATTTAAAAAAAAAAAAAATAATTGCTGTCATCCATCTTGCCCGGTTTGGCTATGCGACACGTGTTAATGGTGCCGACGCTTCTCTAATAATCTATGTCCGTCGATATCACTTTCAGGCGATTATTTAGATTAAATGACGTGCATTTTAAAACTACTGCCCACATTTAAACGTTAGTGTGCAGAGTAAAAGCCACTGGCCCACTTAACTCCAGCAGCTTAAATATCACCTTATCACCAACGAGCAGATTTTAAAGTTTACATTCATCAATGCGATGCTGAGTGGTTAAACTATCGACCATCGAACGTTGTCTTCATCCTTTGGTGTCGGAAGAACACCGCGTAGTTAATGCCTGGTTGTGTGTCTTGGCCGAAACGTTCTGCTCTTATTGTCCTGTCTTTCCATTCAAGCTTCCACATAACTTGTTCTTCTATTTCAGTCAGTTTATGTCTGTCTGTGTGTCTTGGCCAAAACGTTCTTCTCTTATGGTCATGTCTTTCAAGTCAATATTCCACATACTTTATTCGTCTATTTCAGTCAGTTCATAAAATTTTACTTTGTTTTTCAAACTTCTATTATATTTATAATATTTTTTTATTTAATTTATAAAAAATGTACAGTTGAATATCCGGGACCTTAATGGTGTTAATTTCAGACGGGCCTACCCTTGAAACACACTTATCATATTTGCTATCTTAATGGTTAACTTCAGCTGGTGGGAGAATTAGACGAAAACAAGTTAATTGCTATACATATTGGTAAACTTTGACTTGTCGGCCGATTCGGGACAGGAGTATATATGGGACACGTGTAGATATGGGACAAGTGTAGATATGGGACATGTGCAGATATGGGACAAGTGCAGATATGGGACAAGTGTAGATATGGGACAAGTGTAGATATGGGACAAGTGTAGATATGGGGACAAGTAAAGATGAGACAAGTGTAGATATGGGACAAGTGTAGATATGAAACATGTGTAGATATGGGACAAGTGTAGATATGGGACACGTGTAGTATGGGGCACGTGTAGTATGGGATATGTAAAGATATGAGACACGTGTAGATATGGGACAATTGTAGATATGGGACAAGTGTAGATATGGGACAAGTGGTAGATTTGGGACAATTGGTAGATATGAGACAAGTGTAGATATGGGACAAGTGTAGATATGAAACATGTGTAGATATGGGACAAGTGTAGATATGGGACACGTGTAGTATGGGGCACGTGTAGTATGGGATATGTAAAGATATGAGACACGTGTAGATATGGGACAATTGTAGATATGGGACAAGTGTAGATATGGGACAAGTGGTAGATTTGGGACAATTGGTAGATATGGGACAAGTGGTAGGTTTTGTCCAAGTGGTAGATATGAGACACGTGCAGTCCTTGTATCCCTCGATCTTGACAATGATAACATATGAAGGTATTAAAGAAGCAGTTTATTTTTAGAAGCATTTAACACATCGTAGGGCTATTTATAGTTGTATATCTAGATAGTTTTATCTCCTTATCCTCATCGTTCTGTTTTTATTGGGTTTTTGTTGTTGTTGTTTCTTTTTGTATGGGGTGGGTGGGGTTGCGTGTAAAATCTACCACTCAATTATTGGCGTAGCTGCGGTAAGTGCCGCCTGGGGCAGGGCAAGATTTTTGCCACCCCACCCTCGTTCTAGCTAAAAACTCTGCAGTTGGCCAGTGATGCGGCCTCTCCATTAAAAGAAGTGTCGCTCAGGTCGGACTGCCCCCTTCGTCCCCCTTCCTACCCCCACTGGACTGCCCCCTTCGTCACCCTTCCTACCCCCACTACACTCATTCCAAATACTACATTTGTTAGTCTCATTAAAGTCATTGTTACTTGAAGCGGCTTTATTGATCGTATGACTGATTGTGAACTGAGTGCTGTTGACAGTGTTCGTCACATCAATCATAGTGTAATCATACAAGCTGGCTCCCAAGAGGGCAGCAGTATCTCGAGTTCATCACTTTGAAATGAATTGTTAGACCCTGGTGTCCTGAGATTATAACTTCCTTATAGTGTAAATTATTTTGGTTTTTATTTTATTTCCTGCCATTTTAACCACCTCGATAATTCAACAGTTTTCTTGTTTCTTTTGTTCATTTTAAAAACGAAATAACAAAAACATGGTGTGAGACAGCTTCTATAACTACACAGGACAGTGAAATCAACAGCTGGGCCGAAATTATGTGGGGGGGGGGGAGGGGGGAGGGGGGGGGTTAATGTCAATCCTTGCCATTTTGACCACCTCGGTAATTCAAGTTTTTTTTAAAATACGCAATATAAACAAACAGGGGGGGGGGGGGGGGGGGGGGGGGGGGGGGGGGGTTAATGTCAATCCTTGCCATTTTGACCACCTCGGTAATTCAAGTTTTTTTTAAAATACGCAATATAAACAAACTATGTAATGTCACAGCTTATGTAGCAACATAGGACAGTCAAATGAACGGTGAGGCCTATGCGCCTTCCTCCGCAAACACAGTAGTAAAAGCACAAGACTATCGGACTAAAAGATCATAGCTTTCTGAAGGGATCAGACAGGAAGTTGATTAAATATAATTTTGAAACGTTACCAGGAAGGTTATAATGCAGTCATTTTTGTGACGAGTTCAATGGAAAGTGCCAGAGTTTTTAAATGTTAATAAGAAATGAAAATACAATTGTGTGGGACATTGAGGACAACTGGGAAGGAAGTAATTGCTTGATACCATACGGCGATATGGTACAAACCATACGGCGATATGGTACAAACCATATGGCGATATGGTACAAACCATATGGCTATGTGGTACAAACCGTATGGCCAAGGGTACAACTATATTGCGATATGCTACAAACCATATTGCGATATGGTCCATACAATTTAAATTCTTTCAATGTGATTTATATTTTAAATAATTTTTTTTTAACCAATCCAATAAATTTGTAAACCAGGTAAAATGAAAGTCAGAAGAATCAATTATACCAAGAGAGTCGGACTTACGGGATCATTAGGCTGGACTCTAGAGATGGACTTTAGGACAACTGCCATGAAATACTGTTTAGGGAAAAGCTCCCGTCGCTCTGTCTCACCCATTGTGTGCTAAGTAAACGAATGTTAAGTATACAATGTTTTCCCCGGCTTCTTCTATTTATATAATCCAAGAGTAGTCGTCCTAGATAACGTGATCCACTCTTCCCAAACATGCAAGGCACTCTTCCTAAGCGTCCAAGGCACTCTTCCCAAACGTCCGAGGCAATCTTCCCAAACGTCCAAGGCACTCTTCCTAAGCGTCCAAGGCACTCTTCCCAAACGCCCGCGGCACTCTCCCAAACGTCCAAGCCCCTCTTCCCAAACGTCCAAGCCCCTGAGCAGTAGAGACGCGCTGTCGCCATTTCTTTAAAAAACGACTATACTTTTAATCAATAAAATATGTTGTTATGATATATATAGTTTCTGTACCGGTCTAGATCCTGCGGCATATCGCTAAAGTTCGACCAGACATAGCAATTGATGTAAAAGAGAAGTACAGATGCTCGCAGACGAAGTATTTTGCCGTCCCCTTTCTATGAAAAAAAAATCGGTAATTGGCCGAAAATGCCGCCCTTCCATTTAAAGAAAGAAAGTTCCGCCCAGGGCTTTGCCCATCCGCAATCCTCTTCCTTCGCCACTGCTGGCACAATGAAGACATTGAAGGAGATTCGTGTGTCTTTTATGCAATCACAGTGGTCCCGAAATTGTTGAACTGTCATGAATAGAGAATTGAGATATTCAGTACTTTTCGCCAAACATACAGCTCTACGTCTTGGACTGTGAGAGATAACAGTAATGAGTGATCAACTAGGATTAGAACACAGAAATCATGGCCAGTTTTCGTTTGTGACGTCCCCCAGTCAATTATATGTATTAAAAATATTTTTTTTAAAACTCATCACAATACATTTAGAATGGCTTTTGAGTAATTGTCTTTAAATTAAATGCATAATTTATATATATATATATATTGTGTAACTGGGAAAAGGGAGGGGGGGGGCATTGGTGTGTTCAGAGGATGATCTAGGGTCGGTATAGCGAGTAAAGTTAATGACATTACAACAGAGCCTATCAGTAAAAGTGCACGCTTACCACTAATGGCCCGTGAGGCAAGGTCAAAGGCAACACCTGACATTATATGTATTACCAATGTGGATGTCATACATATGTGCCCGTTTCAAAAAAAAAAAAAAAAAAAAAAAAAAAAATAGAAACGAACTACTTGAGATACGCCAAGATATTACAGGCTGAGAATCACTGCTAACAATCACTTTGAAAGAGGACTCAACGCTGAGACCATAGTTCCAGTGTCTCTGGTCAAAGGTAACTTTTTGAATTTGTAATTGGCTTTTAAGTGCTAAACGCCTACAAAGCCAAAATCTCGTGTGATAGTGTGTTAGTAAATGAACCCACTTAAAGTAAGTATGTTACGATGTCAACACCCTAAGTAAGTATGTTATGATGTCAACACCCTGTCCTAGTGTGTACACCAATCCATTAGTGTAAGGGTGGGGAACCTTTTTGTCTGAGAGAGCCATGGACACCACATATTTTGAAAATTAATTCTGTGAGAGCCATGCATTATGTTTAAAACTAACAATTCAAGTGAATGTGAGCATTTTGTGTAATTTCAACACTGAAAATGCAATAATTATGTCTCTGAATTCTTTGTAATAACATTGTTATGCTGTTGCTAATCAAAGGAGTCTAGAGAAACATTTTTTTTTTAATAATCGAACATTTGTCTGCGAGCCAGATGCAGCCATCAATAGAGCCACATCTGGCTCGCGAGCAATAGGTTTTCCACGGGACTAATATTACAAGTTTATGTAAATAATGTATGAAATTACGAATTTATATGTTTAATCAATACTATCTTTGCATAATAACTGTATCGCCGTACACCTACACAGAAGTACCGAAACCGTTCTAACAAAGATCCATATGTACCGTTTGTAATCATGACCTAATTGTCTCATTACTGGGATGTGCTATCCAACAGATCGTATGATGCCGACACATGTGGCATTTTATTAATATATAGCGTAAAGGGGGACAATATTTTGAATTGTTTTTATCAATTTTTTTCACAGCATCGTGTCATATTTCGTTTTCCTACTTTCAAAAATGACTTGCATTACCAAGCTTACGATAAGTATTCAAAAAAATTGCGTTGAATGTACAACATACCAATTTTACGTTGAGTATTCAATCAAGGATAGAATTTAAAATTTGATTCAAAATCTATCCTCTAAGAGGAACCTTTTTATTTTAAAAAAATAATCGGTTTATCTTGACGGTCAAAGTTATTAGTTCCCTGCCTAGTTATCAGCCTCTATGCACCGTATCGTCAGTTCGTTAAGTGGGACTCGAAGTTTCAGCTGAACTGAAACAAAGCCTTAACAACGCTTTGGATTAAACCCGTATCAAGAAGGTCAATCTGTGCGTGCAAACCGCATGTCAACAACATTCTAGAGCTTTGCGGCTTGATTGATTTGGGTTGTGTTGAGATGAGACGACGGTCTCTATAAGACTAAACCCGGGATGAATACCATCAGGCGTCAGCGCTAAGTACTCACCCTCTTATCCGATCGAGAACCGGAGTCTTCCGTTAGTCCAACTCGAGAATAACTCTCGCATGAGACGTGACACACCTTTCCTCAATCACACGCATCGGCAAGGAACAAAACTGTGGCGTTGAGCCTCCATGTATGCAGTTCTCAGTGGAAACACTATCTTTTTATATAGTCCGCCACCAAATTGTGGTGAGACTGTTGGTCAACCTGATCTCATCCCCCGAGGATGGTCGCCCCGTCAGCGCACTCCTCCTCGCTCCTATGTGCGGCAACCTTCCAGTCCTTGGCTTGTCCCCTCGCGATACTGCTCGCGTTGTGGCTTACCCTTGAAGGGTGCTCGCACACCGCGCTAAGGTGCATGGACGAGACGTACCATTTTGTCGCGACCGAACGACCCTTTCACGGGGTGGGGGGGGGGGGGGGGGGGGGGGGGTTGAGGGGGGTAAGCACAAGAGACCTGGAGAGGGGCGGATCAAGTTAATTGGTGAGAGGTGTAGCAGTAATTAGATAAATAACCAGGAGCGACATGCAACTATCTGATGGTTTGATGGAATGTGATGCCGGTCGGTCTGTCGGTAGAGGTATTGAGGTACTTTATTTTACTTTGGGGAGTATAGATGAATTTTAAGTTCCTTGCAGTGGCGTAGGAAGAGTGGGCGACCGGGGGGGGGGTGCCCAGGCTGGCGCTATTTATTCATTATATGGAGGAGATGCATTTTCGGCCAACAGCAGTGTTTTATTCGTGGATGTGGTGGCAACAATCTTCCCCTACCTTAGGATGCACTAAGCGACGCTCCTGCTTCCTTGTTGCGACCTCCCTGACGCCTGTCCTTGTTGCCACCTCTGTGACGTTTGCCCTTGTTGCCACCTCTTTGACGTTTGCCCTTACTGCCACCTCCCTGACGTCTGCCCTTGTTGCCACCTCTGTGAGTCTGCCCTTGTTGCCACCTCTATGACGTTTGCCCTTATTGCCACCTCCCTGACGTCTGCCCTTGTTGCCACCTCTGTGACGTTTGCCCTTGTTGCCACCTCCCTGACGTCTGCCCTTGTTGCCACCTCTGTGACGTCTGCCATTGCTGCCACCTCCCTGACGCCTGCCCTTGTTGTCACCTCCCTGACGTCTGCCGTTGCTGCCACCTCCCTGACGTCTGCCCTTGTTGTTACCTCTTTGACGTCTGCCCTTGTTGCCACCTCTGTGACGTCTGCCTCTGTTGCCACCTCTTTAACGTCTGCCCTTGTTGTCCGACAAATATTTTGATATATCTCCTGTACGATAATAGATCAAGAGACATATTGGTACGCTTACATCAAGGTTACGGCAGGGGAAATTATTCATTTAAAATTGCGGTAATTGAAATTGAGCATGTGTTGTTTTTTTAATTAATTTTTTTTTTGTATCAAAGGTTGCCTTTAACTATTCTATATATTTAGTTGTTTCCTTTCATGTTAGAATTTATTAATATTACGTTATATCTGTTGTATGAGACACATATTAGAATTTATTAAAATTAGGTAATATATGTTGTATGAGAAATAATGAGGGGTAACAAACAAATCACAATATCATAAATCAAAATGTAATTTTTAATAAAACGTTTAAAACATGCTTTTAAAGAAATACTTTCCTTCGGAGACCAGCTTACGTCTACTAAAACGTGTACAAAATATTCTTAATATTTATTCATTTTCAATTAAATGTAGAACACAAATTTAATTAATTAATTTATTCCCCCCCCCCCATTTTTAAAAATAATTTCCGCACAGACTTAGTTTGCTTAATGAATTTACAAAAATTATTTTATACTTTTTAGTGTTTCATCTGGTCATTTTTTTTTTTTAAATAATATTTTGTATTTTCTTTTTTTAAATTAATTTGTTTAATATTGTTTTTTTTTTCTTGTTTTGTTGTCTTGCCGCCAGTTCCTTTCAGTTCAATCTAAATCTGATTAGACTTTGAGATTTGCGTATTTTCGCAGTTTCCTTTTCCTATTCAGTACCATAATAATACCCCCCCCCCTTTTTTTTTCTCGTACATGCGCACCAATAAGAACTTCCCATGGACGCAAAATGTTGAATTAAAGCTTCAGTCAAAACCCGAAACGACCGCTTAATGGTCGTGTCTTTTTCTGTTCAATTTCAAGTCTAAACATCTAGCTCCACTATTTATTTAGTCACACGGCTTGAAAGTATTCCCACATACCCACAAACATACATACACAAATATCTATCTATCTCTCTCTATATATATATATAGTAAAAAGGAGTTGATCTACTAAACAAGTTTAAATAGAAAAATTAGAACAATCTATTTGTCGTTCATAGAAGCTTTAACCTTTGCTACCTTAAATTTAAAGAAAGAAAAAATAGTTGTCATCTATCTTGTCTCTTTAAAAAAGAACAACACATACTGCCGTGTAAAGTTGTCCTTTCGATCCCCTACCATCTAAATCATATGTCCCCAAACTTTCGTGTCTCGTAGACAACTTTTTTCGGTTTTGGGTAGACCCCCTGCTTATCTGTTATTGATGTTTTCTTCGCTGACATGGACCCCTTGCAAGCTGTTATCGACCCCTGGGTGTCGATATAGACCAGTTTGGGAACCTTTGATCTAAATCAATGGCTGAAAATTAGATAAAACATCACGTACATTTTTTCACAAACGGAATACACAGTACGTATATTTTGTTGCGTTGTAATAAGTTACTTATTTGGGTACCATGGTGACGCGAGAAAGGAACCACCTGTTGTACATGTCACATAGTTTGAGCATCGCTTCGATATCATATAGACCTTGTGGTATAAGACCACGTGACTTTGGTCTCCAAATTTGTCCATGTCATACCCACATAAAAATAATTTTAAATCTCATCAGTACTAAACACTTCGTTTTAATGGACGCAAGAAATAATGAATATTAAAGACGCTCCAGATACATGGTGGTTCTCCATATTATTGACTGCGTTTGAGGGGGGGGGGGTTGGGGTGGGAATCGCTGTTCTGCAATGTATCTGGTGTCACGGGCCGCTGGTCTCGTTTAGCGCTAACGAGTTCATAGAGTACGGCACTCGTTGAAGGTTTATGGCGGTGCGAAGTTGGGTGCGCTCCCGCTACGCCCATGACATAATACATACATAAGTATTAGGCTTAGGGTTGGGGTTAGGGGTTGGGGTGGGAATCGCTGTTCTGCAATGTATCTGGTGTCACTGGCCGATGGTCTCGTTTAGCGCTAACGAGTTCATAGAGTACGGCACTCGTTGAAGGTTTATGGCGGTGCGAAGTTGGGTGCGCTCCCGATACGCCCATGACATTCACCTGTCACATGTTGATGCTACAAGTGGTAGAAGTGCCTGGCGGATCTCTTCGGGGAAACAAGTGCAGGAATTGCAACTGCTTGCTCTTTCGCGATCATGTGGATTCCGTTTACACTTTTAAAGGTGTTTGTCAAAGTTGATACATGGTTAAATTTACACTACATATACAGTCATGATGACTTGTTTCCATTTAGACTAATAGTTACATTTTAACACCAAAAGCAAGACCTGCTTACATTTATTTTATGACATGAAAAGAATAACCATATTTGTGTATGTATGCGTAATGTTTTTAAACAAAAATTATAGTTTTTTTCTAGAAGTCTGTAATTGGAATTTTTAGTTTTTACGTGACAAGTTCCCATGACAATAAAATGATTTATAGCTTAAACTTCAGTTTGAAAATAGTTTCCCTGGCCTCACCCAGACACACCATTAAATCAACCGCCACCTGTGGCTACTTTGACGTCATCTTTAAAGTTTCTACCTTAACTTAATCTCATTTGTGTTGACCTACAGCTTTAAGATTTTGCTCCAATAGGTCATTCGTCGTAGTTTCTGAGGCGTTCAAAGAACAACTCCACTGTACACATAATGCACACGGTATGTTTGCTGAGAATATTCATTCGCACACTAGGGTCGTGCTTCTCAAAACGGTGGTCCGCGGACCGACATCAGTCCACGGGCCGTTATCAGCCCATTTGCGATTTTCACCTATTAATGAAGATGATTTTAAAAAACAAAATGTAAAAAAAAAAAATTAAAAAAAAAAAAGAAGACATGGTAATAATTCTTTAAAAAATCAATGAATTTGCTGCAAGTTTCTGCAACGATATGTATCGATTCCAAAACGGGTTGGAAAACAGGCAATGAAAAGTTAGTTATCAGCCCATTTGAGATTTTCACCTATTAATGAAGAAGATTTTAAAAAACAAAATGTAAAAAAAAAAAATTAAAAAAAAAAAAGAAGTCATGGTAATAATTCTTTAAAAAATCAATGAATTTGCTGCAAGTTTCTGCAACGATATGTATCGATTCCAACACGGGTTGGAAAACAGGCAATGAAAAGTTTGGCACGCACTGTACTAGACGACTCCATAGAGTCATGAAATGTAGTCATTCTTTCTACATAGTTTCCTTCCGTTGAGCCACGTTGTTCTGAGCGCAGGAGCACGTCAAAGGGGATTTACCACGGCGCGTCCTGTTTTAAAAATCCTTCATTTTAATATCGCTTTTCTCGGTGCGTTTTTTGATGGGCAAAATACTCTGACGGCTTATTTACCCACTTCCCGTCAAGCTATTGAGCTAAAACTAGGCACATAGACTAGTTAAAGCTGACAGCATGCTGTTTCAAATGTCCAGCCCCGACCCTACCCCCTCAACCCCAACCCCCCCAATCAGTTTGTCAAGGGGAGGGTGAAGGAACTTTGATGCTACTGATTGCACGAAATAAAATTCCTGACAACCGCGTTAAATGAGATTCTTTTTAAAACAAATGTCATGAGTGCGTTTGGTGCATAAAATATTTTCTTTTGTTGTTTTTCTGAAAACTTTGATGACACAAATCTGCGTTGTGAAAGCGGATGGGTCATTAAGGATATTAATAGAGTTCAGCGGCGTGCAAAACATGTGCGGTTGCGAGCTTTTGGGATTAAGGGGGGGGGGGAGACGACGACACTAATTGGGATTGTTACAAAATGCGTTCCTTGTTGGAATGTTATGTCACATTTTCAGCCCCAGCCTCATTCCTCGATATGACATTTTTATAAAGGATTTATATGGGAAACGTTGTTTTGTGGGCTGTTTAATTTCGAGTAGCAAAGTTATGGGACCAGATATTGGTCTTAAGAAAACATATGCCATCAGCTATCAAACTTAATATCATCCGTGTATTCTATACACACGCTATGAGCTATTTTTTGTCTAAATGTACCTTAATATCAAGCGTGTGTTCTCTACGTATGCTGTAAGCTATTTTTTTTTTTTGGGCCTTAATCTGACTTAACAT